CCCGAGCGGGCGGGAGAGGCGCCCGCGGCCGCCTCGATGTTCCAGCTGCCCATCCTCCATTCCAGCCCCCAGCAAGTGGCCGGGGTCTGCGAGACCCTGGAGGAGAGCGGGGACATCGAGCGCCTGGGTCGCTTCCTCTGGTCCCTGCCGGTGGCCCCCGCGGCATGCGAGGCTCTGAACAAGAACGAGTCGGTGCTGAGAGCCCGGGCCATCGTGGCCTTCCACACGGGGAACTACCGGGAGCTCTACCCATCCTCCATTCCAGCCCCCAGCAAGTGGCCGGGGTCTGCGAGACCCTGGAGGAGAGCGGGGACATCGAGCGCCTGGGTCGCTTCCTCTGGTCCCTGCCGGTGGCCCCCGCGGCATGCGAGGCTCTGAACAAGAACGAGTCGGTGCTGAGAGCCCGGGCCATCGTGGCCTTCCACACGGGGAACTACCGGGAGCTCTACCACATCCTGGAGAACCACAAGTTCACCAAGGACTCGCACGCCAAGCTGCAGGCCCTCTGGCTCGAGGCGCACTACCAAGAAGCCGAGAAGCTGCGGGGCCGGCCCCTGGGGCCAGTGGACAAGTACCGGGTCCGGAAGAAGTTCCCCTTGCCCCGCACCATCTGGGACGGGGAGCAGAAGACGCATTGCTTCAAGGAGCGGACGCGGCACTTGCTGCGGGAGTGGTACCTGCAGGACCCGTATCCCAACCCCAGCAAAAAGCGAGAACTGGCCCAGGCCACCGGACTTACCCCTACACAAGTGGGCAACTGGTTCAAAAACCGCAGACAAAGAGACAGGGCAGCCGCCGCGAAGAACAGGTCGGTACTTTGCGGGTTCCCTGCTTTTCGGGTTCTAAGAGCGACCCCGATCCACGCTGGGCGGCGGGCACAAAGCGGGGAGACCCAGCAGCCTCCCCCTCCCCCCGATTCTGCTGCTTTTTAATACTTGGCAAGGGTGCGAGGCGTGACCTGGAGGCTGTTTGCTTTCGGGGACACTTGCATCAACACAGAAGGGAAGGCGGAAATTAACGTAGTTAGGGAATCTGCGCCCTTTCCCCAATTCCTACTACTCGCTTGCCTTTTGTCAAATGTTAAGGATATGTCTATAGAATCGGTTTATGTGTGAGACCCATTGCAGCGGACGTGTAGCCATTTCGGGGAGGCTTTGTTTTATAAGTGTTTCATTTTTTTACTCAGCAGATTACAACACAGGAAACGATCAACTTTAAAGATTCTCTGTATTGGGGACGCTTAAATTAATACATAAGCCACAAGAAAATATGTGCATTTCCCTTGAAGAAGTAGCGCATTAAATGGGGCATCAAAAATTATTTTCTGAACTGTTTCTATAATTACTATAATGAATATGATACAGATATGGGAAACATTCACTCGGCCATTCATTTTCCAGCCTTTATTAATTTAAATGCCAAATATATAAAAACGCTAAACATATATATATTCCCATTCCACATTTTGCTTTAAGATATATAGAAACTATATCAAATAGACCCATCTATTTCGCCATAAGTGTAATTTTGCAAGCTCGTTTCAGAAAACGTCGTCAATTGTTCTAATAGAAAACAACATTGTATGCATATTTCAAGATCGGCTTTTAAAACAGCCTTGTTATTTACAAGAATCAATCTTTTCATTCTGAATTCATTCGAATTCTGTTTCGGGCGCTTTTCAACCCTGAGGAATAGTTTCTGGATTTTTGTTTGCTTGTTTTGACTCAAAAGCAAATGGTTTGTTGGCGGGTGTTTTGGTTTGGTTTTCCTTTGAAACGTTATTGCTTTGCGTTGTTTATCCAAAATTAGCGACATAGGCAAATGTTCTGGAAAGCGGCAAAGAATCTCCAAATTAGAGGTCAAATTCCTGCCAGCTATTTCTGGCCT